CTCTCTCTCTCTCTCTCTCTCTCTCTCTCTCGATCTTTCTCTCTCTGTCTCCCTCCTTCCTTTTCCAATTCTGTCTGTCTGTCTGTCTGTCTCTCTCTCTATCTATCTCACCTCTTCTCTCTCTGTCTCTCTCTCTCACTCTCATTCTATCTCGTCGTTAAAACAATTGATTATTTACTTTATCAATCCACACAACGCGTTTGAGGGTTTGACGCGTTGAGAAGGGAGGGCATCGGTCTCGTGGGGTCAGGTTCATGCAGATTATTTTTGGTGCCGCTTGGGGTCAGAGTTCAAAAGGATTATGTGGCGCTGCTTTGGGGTTCCCGGTATAAGTACGGTGTGTGGTTGAATCGGTCGTAGGTGGTCAACAGTGAAAGGTTGCAAGTCTATGTAGAACAATGGTCATCGAGTGCTGGAACTGAGAGCTGCTTTTTAAATAAGTGGATAAACTCGAAGTATTGGCATATATATGTGAGAGGTATATTCACGTTCGTTAGTAACCTGACAAGAGGATACATTGAGGTAAGCTATCAATAACTATCAATATAAAAAAATAATTTCTAAATGTTTTTATCTAAGTGTGCATTTTGTAAGGTGTGGACAGAGGTTTTAAACAAAAATAGAAAACAAAGATTGAATACTTGACCTAGTTATACAATATGAAAAACTGACTCCTGTAGTAACTTAAAACATTATCAACAACAAAAACAACAGCAGCAGCGACAACAGAAACAAAAAACCCAACAACAACAACAACAACAACAACAACAACAACAACAAACAGCAGCAACAACGACAACAAGGGAGGCGGTGGCCCTTGCGAAGAGCACTCTCTTCGGGGCTCCAAACATTTCGAACAGATAGGCTACCACACACACACACACACAACAACAACAACAACAGCAACAGCATCAGAAACAACAATAGCGAAAACAACAATAACAACAACAACAACAACAATTACTATAACAACAACAACATCAGCAGCTGCAGCAACCACAACAACAGCAACAAAAAACCCAAACAAAGACAAGAACAAAAAACAAACAAAAGCAAACTCTTCATCTGTGTATTAACCTGCCGAATTCGTGAGATGAAATGAAAAATAAAACGATCATCTATTTGCAGCAACAAGAATTAATAGAACGGTAACAGCAACCAATCAAGATATTGTCACCATTGAGGTGTAATCATCGAATAGCTCCGACAGATCAAACTATGAGATCACACATAACATTGCAATAAAGCAACAACTAGACCCTGCCTGCATGTGGGCAACATTTCCTTGAGCTGTGAGACATAACAAAGGTCTGTGCCAGGCAGAACAGGCGAGGTCACGGTCGAATGGCGCTCCACCAGAAAGGATTGACTAGTATACTTGCCTCCACACGAACGCAGAGATTGGCGTGGAATCAAAGAATAGCTAGCAGGGTTTATGTTTTGTTTTGGGTATGTATTTGTTAGAGTTTTGTTTTGTTCATACGTTGTACAAGGACGAACAAAGAAACGTTTAGAGGGTCGTGTTCCTTGTCTTACTGGAGTTGAAGGCTGAGGAATGGCACGATAGCAGCTCAATCGATTACAGATAAGGCGCTTTTATTTACTTTCTCATTCTCTTATACATAGAGTACATAGTTTGTTCTTTTGCTGTCTTATTGATTTTAAACAGTTGATAACTGTGAAGGTATAGCCATTGAAAGACTTTTAAAAACCCTGAAAATATCATTGACAATAACGTACAAACGGATGCCATTTTCCCGTTTGGCATAATAATACAATTCACAATAATAATAATAATAGATAGCATTTGTATAGCGCAAGTCACCACTCAACAGCAAGCTCTATGCACTTCACAGTCTATACTATTACCCAAGCAGACCTGAGGGCATTCTGAAACAACCTGAACTTCCTGGGAAGCATACACGTGCAAGTAGCCATTTATAGGCGCCAAAACACCAACATACTAACAAGATCTTTTGCTGTCTATGGCCGGGTACCCATTCCCACCTGGGTGAAGTGAGGAAACTTCGTGTAAAGTGTCTTTCCCAAGGACACAACGTCGTTTCCGAAATAACAACGGAAAGAGCAAGATCCTTCCTCCCAAAACCGCGAACTCAGTCTCCTTCTATGGTTACTGTAATCATTGTTATAAGTATCTTATTACTGTGGCTATTAGTTGTTGTTTTTTCTCCGTCTCTATCTGTGCCCTTTTCTCCTTCCCCGTGTATTTCTCCTCCTTCCTCTTCTTCTTCGGCTTCCTTTCCTCTTCTGCTTCTTTTTCTTTCTCTTCTCCTTCCTCTTCCTCCTCCTTCTCTTCCTCCTCCTCCTCCTCCTCCTCCTCCTCCTCTTCCT